GGTTAAACGCATCGGCTTGCTGATACAAGGAGAATTTCATATTCGTTTTAAAAACACCGTTTTCCGCACCTTATCGGCTTTATGAAACCAAGGGTGGCCGTTGCAAGGTTTCGTGGAAATGATGTACGAGGCGTAATGAGCCTTCGTAGTGGGTTGCGGGAAGAATTTTACTGGATGTTCAACATCCGCCCTCTGTGTGTTTTGCCTTGTAGAACATGGATCAATCCATTCATCTTTTTTGTTCGTGGTACATGGCATTTTCAGGGCGCCCAAGCTACCGTTGGGCGCTACGCCGGAACATGTATTCGTAGAGATGGTAAGGACTTGTACAGTCATCCCAAAAATCCAATCATAATGGCTATTTGTCATCCTGCCATTATTGCGCCAAGCTTTAAAGAAGTGGGAACCGTCTACTTCCACAATTTTCCCACCTAGCCTGCCTCAGGGAATGTACGAACTTACAGGGTCGAACACCCATTCGTAGTGGTTTTTCAACATGCGACCCCTGTTATGCTTTGCTTTGAAGAAATGGCTCTCATCGATTTCGACGGCCTTGCCAGGACCACCGAGTTTATCATTTTGCAGGGAATTGGCCACCCAATCTTTGTGCCATTTTCCCAAGGGCTTCGTAATTTTTTCTTCAGTCCTATCGACTTTTTCTTTTCCAGTATTCTCGATCATCCGCTCTGGATGGCATATTCGCCTTGAAGAATACGATTCGTCGATTTCGCTAGAATTCTCACGAAAAATCCGGCGCGTCCAGGAACCAGAAACGACATATTTGTCGATCTTCTGTAATCACTATCATCTTCTGTTTTGGCAGCTGGCGCGTCCCAGAAACACGAGTCCTTTACATCTTATCCTTGAGTTCATCGGCATTTCGGACTTAGCCTTCATATCCCCCATATAGCCTCAATGGCTTGAAGGTGGACTCGATGCGATGTGGGTGCAACTTGTGGTTAACCCAGCTGTGGGGACTCAGGTCGTATTGAGCCCTCTAGGTTCTTATGTGCCTTACTTCACTCACGATATCACGAATGCAACAGGTTTTATTCTTGCTTGTTGGGGAGAGGATGCATCCCGCTCCTCCTCTTGCGGCTCCTTTATACCCGCCTAGCCCTTCAGGGCCCGCCTACTGCCCCCTGCCTGGGGTCGCATAGGGCGCAGAGTCAGGACCCTCACCAGCTTGATGGTGACACCATTTTGAAGGTGTTTGATGCCCTGGTAGGCTTTCCACCCATCATTTAGCATCTTCGTCCCCAGCGGCGACATTGGCCTGAATGAAGGGTAATAGAACTCCGCGGGATAGCCGCAATTTTCTTTGACCATGCCGAATACCCATGAATGGCTTTCTACTGTGTCCTCACGGCCGCAATTCGGCCTGAAAAAAGTAGGACTCGTCAATCTCGTCACTTTTGCATCGGCCACGCAACTTCAATGAGTTAATGACCCAGTCCTGAGCCAGTTCACGATAGGGGATACTGGAGGAGATTCTACAGCGATCGTGATCCATAGAAAATTCGTTCTATACCGGTGGCTCGTTGACTATATCGTCGCACCAAACAGCCCCGGCCTGCTACTCTCTCGAGTCATCATCATCGTCATCATTTCCGATCCAGCCTAGCGGTATGGAACCACGTTTTCATTCCACCGATTTGGACCAATGTCCGGGAGGTGTTAGGTCGTCTTGAATGGGATGACAAAAGTCATGCACACATGGCGGCCGTGGGCTGGTTTCGGTACGGCCAAGCCGCCGGCAAGCTTAATAGGACAAGGTGATAGCGGGTGTTCCAAAGGGCCTGTCAACTTAAAGGTGTCCAACGAACAAGGCCACATCAGCGCCGACAGCGCCTGCACAGTGCCAATAGTATCCGGAGGGCCGGTTCTTGTGGTCGAGCAGCGACGTGCCGCTCTTATCCTTCTCTATCGACAGGTGTGGCTAACGACTAATTCGTCGACTTTTTAGCCTTGTTTCTCGGCGGCCCAGAAAAAAGGAACTCCGGTGTTGGAACATAAGCGTGTAAATGTAGACACAGTGTTTTAAAGAGGGGCCCTTGTCCGGTTTAATCGGCATTTACAGCCTCCCATAGACCACGATTCCACCAAGGTCACTCATCATACCGCGATTTTGAAGAAAGGGGCCCGAGACCGAATAAGGACCGCTTACGCAATGAAAGGGTCTGGATTGGAGGCGGTTTTGGCTGCTGGAGAAATGTGCTGGTCGTTGTGGAGCGGATGGAGGTTTAGGGGAGGTTTCTGGACATATGACTTTGAAAACCAACGAGCCAGTGCCGACAATGCTTTCAGAAATTCGAATAACTCAAGTTTTCCCCCTAACCATGCAAAGGACCGGAACCCTGGAGCGTAACACTCTCAAGGCGCAAATACGAGGCGCTCCGGTAAATATGTTATTTTCTTGCGCTCATCATCCTAGCTAGAATGTACTGCATTCTCTCCGAAAGAGTTTGGGAAAAATCTCAAAAAAAGACAAAAACTCACTCTAATTTTCTTGGTAGCATACAGCCGCGGTGGTGTTTGGCTCGGAAGAAGTAACTTTCGTCGATCTCGACCATGCTATGGCGGTTTCTAAAATCCATTGTTGAAGGATAGGAAAACGGTTCGAAGTCTAGTAACTTATCAAAAAGAGCGAAGCGGAAACTTACTGTGAGCCGGTGAACCAGCTCATCTTGTCGGCCGAAGTCTTCAAAAAGCCTTTCTGCTGTTAGCTGCCGTGATTTCCGGGAGGTTCAGACTTTCCGCATCGATTTAGTTGCGACAAGCGCATAAACCAGACCCAGACCGCCCGCAGGCGGAATCCGCCCTCGATCAATTTTGTCTGCTCGTTTCCACGGCGTTTCGGAGGGTCCTTTCCTTTCTCGGGGGCCACACACGCTTGCACTCTTAGCCTGGCTCGCAGCCACTATCTTTATTTGCCCTCTCTCTCCCCCGGCTGTAAGAGTAGCCCAACGGAACCGGGGGTCAGCGAAAGGGCAGAGCGGAGAAGGCTTTCAGGGCGTAATCGGTTGGCTTGCGAGGGTTTTCGAACCCTGAAAAGTATCGAAAGAAATTGATATCGCAAGGCGTAAATCTCAGGCGACCAAACGAAAAACGAAACAGAAAACCAAGCCAAAAGGACACAAAATCAATTCCAAGGCTCCCAATCTCGTCACTGGTTGTAAAATGACCATTATTTGACCGCGTGCGCGTTACCTTTAACGTACTTTTCCAGGTTGGAAGCTCTGCAAAGCATGGAACGTGCAGCTCGACTTCCCGCCCGGCGGTGCCCAGCCGGTGCAACATCTGCAATTCAGCGGCAGCATCGCGGCCATTTTGAGGGCCAGAAAGTTTGTGATGGTGCGTCCGAATTTGTTAGCTTACTGTGGCAAAAAGCACGCTCTCTTTAAAGATGTAAATTTATAGGGAACCCTACCAGTGTGTCTTCAATTCGAACAATCCCCAGTAACCTCGGCGCTGAACTACACGGCTATTGAAGCCTGCCACGCTGTCCAGCACATCAAGCCAAGTCGAGAACTCGGCCAGGGCGGCGAGCAGGTGGTACGATTGACTTTATGGAGGTTTATTGGCGTGCGTTCGTATAACTGTAAGTTCGTGATTTTAAGAACTTTTCCCATCCGTGCCGCCGAAGAGCAAATAGTCCAGCGTCCTCCGGGCCAGGCAACGGATTTTGGGCCAAGAACAGAGCGAGACGATCGATGATGACTATGATTTTATAGAAGATTACCCAGAATTCCGGTAGAGATTCTTCCTAGTAAAATAACCCCTCTATTTTCCAGAATCCGATTGCACCATTTTCGCGATCACTTCGTTGGGCGCGGGAAATAATTCGGAGGAGTCGACTAGGGTAAATTTTTGCATAGTTTTGATAAATCGAAAGGAGAGAATGGAAAGAGCGAACGAGGAAGTAGGAGGTCGAGAGAGAGAGCGAGAGAGAGATCAAGAAAAATATTTCTTTAGGATGCTCCCCTCTCCCCTGGATCCGGAGAAATTCTCCCCATTGCCCATTCACTTTTGACCGGCGCGAAGCACATCAATGGAGATTCGTGAGTTTTTCGTGGAATAGTGGCTTCTGCTTCCTTTAAGCCTTATTTTGTAACCTTAAGAATATTTAGTGTAAGAATTTAGGGTTATTTTTAGACAACTCTGGTCTGGTCGGCCCTCAGCTCGTCGTGCCTCGAGGAGCAGATGCTTTTCAAGGCTCATCCAGGTAAAGAATTAAGAATGTGCGTGAGCACGGGAGAGAGAGAGAGAGAGAGAGAGAGAGAGAGAGAGAGAGAGAGGGAGAGAGAGATAGAGATAGAGAGATAAAGAAAAAAGAAAGAGAGATCTAGCTTTTTCAGCAATTTCCGACACGATCAGTACTTCCACCCGCTATCCCACAGACCTTTGGGCCGGATATGGGTTCTCGAACTCGTTGCCCACTGACCTTCTGAAGGGCATGATCGACCTAAAAATGGCAGCCGGAGCTGATGGTGCGAATAGCCATATGGTAATTGGGTCTCAAGAATTACAATGGACCTGAATGGCTTGTCCCTGCCCTCCAATTTTTAGGCTCCCAGCACTTCGGATCAAAGGGCTGGCGGCGGTGAGGGAGGAAGAGGGGAGGACTCCTCGTTGTCGGCTTCCTCTTCCTCTCTATCGAACACGTTCAGCAACCCGCTGTTTTCCAGAAGAAACAGAAACTACCAGGTAAGGCATGGAGAGAGAGAGGGTGAAGAGAGAGCGAGCGGGCGAGTAGAGAAAGCGTTTAGAAGATGCACTAAGCATATTCAGCCTTCTCCGCTTCGACGTCCATCTTCGAGTCTCACTGGTGCATCAGAAAGTGCGTAAGGATGTCTCGCTATTCACCGAACCGGCGATGGTGCTCGCGCAACTTGGCCTTGGCGAGTACACGGCCAATTTGAGAGGAGCAGGAGGTGCGCTACGCTGCATGCCTTAACCCTACATATCAACCTTAAGATCGATATGGACGCTTTTCTACTCCTTGATGAGGCCGCGCTACGGACATCGGTGTCGCCACCGTCGAGCGCGGGAAGAAAATCCATCACGCCATCCTTAGTAAGATCTGGCCCATACTGTAATTTCCCCCTTTTTAGAACTTCGCGAATCCGCGAAGGCACAGGGCTACTCGCTGTGAGAACGGACTCACTTTTTGTTGCCATTTTGGCATTTCATTCTATTTTTGATTTTTTTTGCCTGCCACTCACCTCATTTGCCATGACGCCCACCTCCAAAAATTTCTTGCCTATCCCAAAAGCCAGCCAGAAACCATTATGGGTACCCCACGACCGCTCAGTGCCTCTGACATTATACTCTATTTTGCATTCCTTGAATTTCCTTTTCACTTATTCCGGTGCCATTTGGAGCAAAGCCAAGGAGAAATTATAATGTCGTTGCCAACGAGTTGACACAGGGAAGCTTAGATTTTTATATTTTTGTTTGCCCATATAGGCCGTCGGTTCCGCCCTCCCTCACCATTGGCCAGATAAAATCTCTGGTCTTTGAGACGTTCACGTGCAGCAGGAAATGGGTGGGAAAATAATGGGGAGAGGACACTTTTAATGTTTGAGCATTTGAAAGCTTTTGAAGAGGCGCTTTGAAAGCGCTAATTTTGATGTCAACTGGCCTAATTCGAACTTAAGCGTAATCTAAGCCGAAGCCTAAGCCTAAGCCTAGGCCTAAGCCTAAGCCCGAACTAAGGACTAATCCTAAGCCTGCGCCTAAGCCGCATCCTAAGCTAAACCCTAAGCCTAAACCTAAGCCTAGACCTAAGCCTGCCCAACTATAAGCCTAAGCCTAAGCCTAAGCCTAAACCCCTCAGCCTAGGCCTGCCAAGACTACCCTTTTTTTTTCCCAACATTCTCAAGGTTCGAAAATTTACATGCTAAGTAATTAAGGTAAGGTAACCTAATCAAGGCCAAAAATTTCCTACGTTTTCCACCATGACCATTACGCTCGTTTTGTATTATTGCCAGCCTACCATTAACTACACATCCCTTTTAAGGGTCTTCATGCGCAAGACCCTACAAAAATTCGGGCTAGCCAGCTACCAGTTACCCGCTTTCCAACAGGCGGGCCCCGGGCCCCTGGGGTTTTGTACTTGTAGCCCCGGGGTGGTATTGTTGAGCCCCGGGCCCCCGACCCGTCGAGATTTGCATAAATCGGCCGGCCAGCGAGGGAGGGACTATAATTCGCGATCGGGTTTGTACTTATAACCCCCGCCTGGACCGCCTAGGCGCGCTGCAAAATTTGGAAAGTAAGTTCCGGCTTGCCCGTGTTTGCGGGGCAACGATAATCGCCCCCGGAAATGTTCCGATGTCAGTCTCGATTTTTTCACCGTTTCCCAGGGCTGACCAATTTGACGGGTTTGCAACCCCCTCGAAATAGAACGGTAGCAAAGCACGAAACCGAAAAAGCCTTGTTATTTTGCGTTTAGGGAATCGATCGTTTTATTTGGCCAACTTAAATTAATGAGTTTTCCTGATTTGTTTTATTTTGCATTTTTCCTACAGTAGAAGCCAGCTAGAAAATCTTAATAAAAATAATTATAAATGAATTAGACCCAATTCATCGGAGATTTTTGTATTTTAACTTCCATGTTTTTTTTTGGCGTTTTAATTTATTAAGTGCTGCCTTATGACAATTTTCGATTTCTTACATTTATATAACCGGAAACATTTATGCTATAATGACTTATAAATCCATTACAATTTAAAATGAGTTTTTATCAAATGCCACAATTCATTTTTTTATCAAAATTTTTTTAATTTCCCAACAAGTATTTTCACAATTTTACACTTTTCGAGCGTCAACCAAAATCCGATCTTTGCATCCGTTTTCCCCGTTTAGTACCGTCTGTACGCACGGCAAGTAGTAATTAATTACGTACCCGACTGACGCCTGAAATTACTACGTTTATCAGCCAGGATTCCTATGGCAACGCCAGGCGGCAAGATGGCAATTTGGGGGTCGTCTGGGGTTTGAAAGTTGCTTTTTGCTCGAGTCATATTCTGAAGAAATCGTACCGTAGCCTTACTATACTATACATTAAAAAAAAATTACAAAAACAATTAATAATAAATTTATATTATTTGGTTGGTTTCGTATACAGACAACTAGAGCTAATAGCTTTTAAACAACACGGGAAACTAAAAAAGCCGTTTTAAGGCTACCCCTACTACTATAAATAAAAACAGCATGTAATACCCAAAATATTTTAAGGAGTATGGTTTAATAGCTCTTCTTTTGCAGGTGATGAGCAGCGGCTCGCCGCTGTATGGGCCTGGGGTCGATCCGGATTGCGCGTCGTGCTCCTCATCCTCTGCCGCCCTCTCCATCGAGGGGTTAATGAGAGCAACCTCAACATGGTATGTCCCTACCCCTTGAAAACGAAAAAATCGGCTTCAGGCCATGGTCTGCATGTTGAACTCGACGGTGTTGGCGCAGGAGCGGGCGCAGAAGGTGGGCGACGTTTTTCGCGTTTTTAAGGCATCCGGAAGTGAAGGAAGATCTTGTAGGGCAGGCTAGCAGAGATCCCAGGAGAGCTCAACTATGTCAAAAATCCTATGCCAAAATCTAATTTTTTAACTTTAAAGGAACTAGTAACTTTCCGGGAAAACATTACTGTTAGGGGCTAACTAGCAAACACCTCACGTCAGTTTAATTTTTAAGAACACCCTTTAAAGCCTTTACAAACTTGCCAAACCCTGAAATTCAGTTCATCATGATCGGCAACGTGAGCCATCAAGTTGACGACTGCCCAATTCTGGAGATTGGAAACCGGAAACCGATGGAACATGTGAGTTGGGAATTAGCGAAAAGGGTTTAGGAAAAAGGGCTGCCTAAACGCCTAAGCCTAAGTCTAAGCCTAACCTTAAGCTTAAGCCTAAGCCTAAGCCTAAACCTAAGCCTAAGCCTAAGCCTAAGCCTACACCTGACGCTTCCGAATGGCGGTCCTGAACCGTTAATGGGGAAGGCTCTCGGCAGGATGGCTTGCTCCCGCTACACCCTCCTCCCCGCTAGCAGACCAGTACTTTAGAAATTACCATAATCTTTTAGCGCGGCACCTTTGACTGGAGCTCCCAGGAGCGCGCCGTCCTCTTTGCCATGTTCTACGTTGGTGGATTGGTGGCCGCGCTAACCACCGAACCGCTCACTAGAAGGTCCGTTTCAGCAAGGGTGACAGCAAGATTCTACCTTTCTTCAGGTACGGCCCGAAAACCGTGGTGATGTGGGGGGCGTTGGTGAACGTGGTCGGCACGTTCGCCACTCCGCCGACGGCCGCCCATTTTGGGGCCATCCCCCTGTTTGTCGTCCGATTTGTCATGGGATTTGGGCAGGTGAGCGGCTCTGGCCAACCCTGATACCCTACGGATTAGGGTGTACTGTACCCGTGTTCCGATGGCCGTGCTGGTAGCGCATTGGTTTCCGGCTGGGGGAGAAGAGCACTGCTGTGGCGATTACAACAACTGGAAATCAGGTATGGTAATTTTTCTCAGCGGTTCTTTCTTCCCTTCCTCACTCTCTCGCTCTCTCTCTCTCTCTCTCTCTCTCTCTCTCTCTCTCTGTCTCTCCCTCTCTCTCTCTCTCTCCTCTCTCTCTCGTTCTATCGCTCAAATCCAGGTGTCCGTCGTCGTTGCCCTATTCCTGACCGCCGAACTCTGCCAGCTGCCGTGGATGGACGGGTGGCCGTTCGCCTTCCATCTCTACGGTACCGTAGTCTGTACACGTTTTAGAATCCATTTTTAGGTGTAATTGGCGCGTTGTTCTGCGCTTCTTGGTGGTGGGGCGTTAGTGATCATCCGTCCACCAATCCCTACATTTCGGCTGTAGAAAAGGCCCATATTGATGAGGGACGGAAGAGCAATCCGCATACGGTAGGTTAAACGCCTCTTTTCACTCTCTCTCTCTCTCTCTCCCTCTCGCTCGTCTACCTTCCTTACCGTATTTTCAGGAGAAGCCGCGCTGGGGAGTGCTGCTGAAATCGCCGCTAATCTGGTCGCTGGCCGCCTGCTCGTTGTGTCATAACTTCATTACCGTTGGCACCGTCACCTATTTGCCGCTCTACTACCGTACAGTGCTGAATATGAGCTTGACCTCGGTGGGATATCGGTCCGAATTAACTAGCGTAATTGTTGCAGAACGGAATCTTCTCAGCATTGCCGTTTGTTGCGCAGTTTTTCTCGAAGGTGCGTTGAGCAAGTGAGCGAGAGCCAGAGAGACGAGAGTGAGAGTAGAGACAGAGAGAGGGAGGTGGCGAGAGGTAGAGAGCGAGAGAGATGGCGAGAGGTAGAGAACGAGAGAGAGGGAGAATGTGGTGACAGCAAAGAATTCATTCCAGGTAGCTTTCGCCTCCTTCGCCGACGAGGCCAAGAAGCGCAAATGGATGAGCATCACCGCAGCCACAAAAATTTGCAATTCCATGGGTAAGCTACAGTATACCTTGGGAGCCACCATCTCTCAGCCTCATTCGGCATCGGCTTCTGCTTCCTGGGTCTCTGCTTTTTCGACTGCCAACTTCGAGGTTGGGCCATCGCCGCGGTTTTTGGGGCCATGATTTTCGTGAGCGGCTACGTGCCCGGGTACAATACAAGGTATGGAGGTGTCTTCATCCCTGAAATCCTAATTTTAAGCGTGGTTTGCGTGGCCCCCTCGCAGACGGCGGCCATCGCGTCGTTTACGCGGTTCTGGGGCCAGGTCGGCTCCTCGGTGGCACCGTATATGATTGGAGCACTGGCAAAAACGGTGATTTTTCAGGCATAAATGAGATAGAGGAGTGAAAAGAGCGAGAGAGGAGAGAGAGAGAGAGAGAGAGAGCGGGAGAAGAGCGAATTAGAGAGTGAGACTACGCGACTTTCCGAGGTACACTGGATGAGTGGAAACACGTCTTTGCCACCATCGTCTTTCTCTGCTTCTCATCCGGCATTTTCTTCCAGGTGATCGCAAAAAAAAAATTGAAATAATTTAAATTTAATTGGAAGAATAACATGCATGATGTAGCAACGTATTAAAAATGCAAAATTCGGCGTTTGGCGTGAACTATGAAATTATGCAAATTTCCCAGATCGTCGGCTCGGCCTCGATTCAGGACTGGGACACTTCCGCCCAGTGCACCGAGATGAAGCTCATCGAGGCCAAGCCGGAACCGGAAAAGGTGGCGGAACCCCAGAATCCGGAAGCAGTCCCACTGGATGACCCCAAGCTACAAAGTACAACCTAGTTTTTATGCTAATTTTCATGCTTTTTGCGCAGCCCAAGTTTTCGATTCTCAAGATTGCAAATTTATCCTGGTTTTAGGCATATATTTGTGTACATATCAAAATCGACTCTCTCTCTCTGACTTTCATCTCCAATTTGCATAACATAGAATTCTCCCAGTTCCATACCAAAGAAAAACATTTGCCTGATCTCATATGTTCTGCAAATTTTCGTGTGATTCTCGTTTTATCGATTCGACGCGGAATAAATTGCATAAAATGACGGAAACTGGTTTGAAAATACTGATTACAGTACCCGGGGGTGGCGACAATCATGGAGAAAAGATTGTTTTGGTTTGGCGGTTTGTAAAAAGACGTTTTGAAGGTGAAAAATCAAAATAAGCATAAATTGAAGAATGCCAACGTAATTTTAAAGGAGCCGGAGAGGCAAAACGGGTGAGAAATTAGTAACACAGAGTATAGTAAGCCTATTTGATAATTCTGCAAATGTTTCACTGTTTCACTGCCTTGCAGGTCCCTTTAAAAGCAGGGAAAATGGCACAAAATATGCACAATTAAAATGCCGACTGCTAAAACGCCGACAGCCAAAATGCCGACATTCAAAATGTCGACAACCACGATTCCGAATTCAGAACGGATAACAACGGCCCTTTTTGGCTAATGGTCGCTTTCGATTTTTTGTCGGCATTTTTGGGCTGTCGGCGTTTTACTTGTCAGCATTTTGCCTCGAATTTCCTTAAAAAGCAACGAAAAACGTCAGCTACAAATACGCCTAAATCCACGCAGCCGAGGGGGCCTTATACAGCGAGGTCTTTTGGTGGAATAATAGAGAGGGCAGAGAGCCGGCGTGGCGCACGGATGGCGTCGAGATCTTCGACGTCTGCGAGGAGGTCATCATCGAGCCGCACGAGGAGCAACGGTGCGGGCCAGAGTCGGTGGAGCTGCTTCTGAACACGAAGATTAAAGGGTCAGGAGAGACGAAACACGCCTAAACAAGGCACAGATCTAGCCTAAACCAGAGCTAAGCAAGTCAAGCAAAGCAAGCTAAGCATAAGCCTAAGCCTAAATTAAAGCCTAAGCCTAATAAGCCTAAGCCAAGCCTAAGCCAAGCCTAAGCCAAGCCTAAGCCTAAGCTCAATCCCAAGCCTAAGCCTAAGCCTAAGCCTAAGCCTAAGCACAAGGGTAAGCCTGAGCTTAAGCCTGAGCGTCAGTTCATGAGCTAAAAGTCGACCCTCACCTCAACCGCTTGAATCGCCGAAACTTCTCGAGGAAGCTGATGTGGAGGAGCATCACGACTTAGAGGAATTTGAACAATAATCGAATTGAGAAATTTTTTTTAGACGAGTTCAGGCAGTCAAGGTGCACCTAGAATTTCCAGCCGAAGAAATTTGGGTCGCGTCTGGGACAGCCAAATGGCTTGTTTTCGGTCCCATGCGCCAGCTTGGGGCTCCTGATCCGATTTTTATCGGCATCCGGGGTCACCCACAGCTTTCCCCGGGGCTCAAATCCGCTTTTTGCATCTGGAAGGGGATGGAATTAGCATTGACTTGGCCGAACCATGGAAATATTAGACTTGGAGAGAGAGAGAGAGAGAGAAAGAGAGAGAGAGAGACAGATCTGGAGATAGAGAGGGAGAGAGAGCAAGAGAGACAGAGAACGAGAGAGAGAGCGAGCGAGTGAGGGGGAGAGCGAGTGACAGAGTGAGAGAAAGAGAAACAGATAATGAAAAGAGTGGGAGAGAGAGCGAGCAAGAATGAGGGAGAGCGAGAGAGAATGAGAGAGGAGAGATAGAGAGAGAGAGATAATATTCCGTTCCGCTTATAGCGTCAAAAGCTTCGAAAATGTTTAAAATAAACAATATTCTGTGCCCTTGAAAAACGGAAATGCCAAAAAACCTGCCCACCGCTTTGCGCACGTATTTAGTAGCGTTTTGTAGCCCGCGAAACGAGGCAAGGGGAGTGCTTTTGGTTTGCCGCGGAGAGGCTAATTTTCCGGGCTAATTTTCCGATTCCCACGCGCACCGGTTCCAGAGCCGTCAAGGCAAAATTGAGTCACGTTTTTTCACATTTGTTTTGTCCAAAGGCGTTAGCTGAAAATCATTTTAATGATGTTTTTTCCTGACTTCCTGGCGCCTTTAAAATGTATTATAATAAATTAATAGATTCTAGTCTACCCCCTATGTTTTTCGGGCCAAAAATAAGGCGATTCTCACTGATATCATCGGGAAGGCCGCTACCGGACCCGGGAGCTAGCCAAGAGAATAGACGCCTAATTTGCTTGTATTGAAAATTATGAAAGGGAAATGCTGGCAGACCAGGAACAGAACAAGACACTGGTTTGCTGGAATCGGGGAATCCTTTTGGAATAGGCTTCTCGGGCAGGAGTCGAAGGATTTAATTTGGTTTTAAGCGTTCCATATAATATCTATAATCTAAATTATCTATAAATGTTAAATTATCTATAAATAGTAAATTATCTACAGTAAAACCTATTTATGTATTTAGTACTTTGCCAATATAGCAATTTCGCTCTTCTTTTCGCCTTAAATTTTTACTACTAATGCCTTAAAAGCTAAATCCTTGTTTTTCGTTGTTTTCTAGCCAATTAAAATGTGCTCAAAACGTAAAATTAAAGCAGGTTTTTAAAGGCTAAACTTATGACACTAACATTTACAGCCATGAGCGCCCTACTCTTCGCAAGTATTCTGCTACTAACCCACAGCTTTTCCATCCTAATGCTGCTACTGTGCTTCACCCGCGAAATGGAGCGCTATCGGTTCAATTTGCTGCAAATACAGGTCGTGCTAACAAGCTTATAAGATAACGCCAGGCCTAAGCCTAAACCTAAGCCAAGCCTAAACCAAGCCTAAGCGTAAGCCTAGACCAAGCCTAAGCCAAGTCTAAGCCAAGCCGAAGCCTAGCCTAAGCCCAAGCCTAAGTCCAAGCCCAAGCCTAAGCTAAGCCTAAGCTAAGCCTAAGCTAAGCCTAAGCTAAGCCTAGGCTCAAGCGAAAGCCTAAGCCTAAGACTAACAAGGAGTGCTTTTTTTGAGTCATCGGCAAAACCTTACAAGACCTAGCTCATTCGATAGAGAAATTCAATTCTGAGCAAGACTCCGTTGTTCTTTTTTGCAGAATGGCTATCCCGGATTTTATAAAATTTTAAGACTGCCCCCAAAAGCCTCTCTTTTTGCTCGAAAGGCACTCATGGTAAGAGACGGTCACTAGTATTTTAATTTTATAAAATCACGGATAGCCATTCTGCAAAAAAGAACAACGGAGTCTTGCTCAGAATTAAATTCTCTATCGAATGAGCTAGGTCTCGTAAGGTTTTGCCGATGACTCAAAAAAAAGCACTCCTTGTAAGTCCAAGCCCAAGCCTAAGCTAAGCCTAAGCTAAGCCTAGGCTCAAGCCAAAGCCTAAGCCAAAGCCAAGCCTAAAAGCCTTAGCCCAAGCTGTGCATAAGCCTAAGCCTAGCAACAAGCCTTAGCTTAAGCGTAACTCTAGGTCCTATCACTACTCGTGTCCACCTCGATCCTCTGCACAAATCCCCAAATGACGCACGTGTATGGAAATGACGACATCGCGGTGTTGATCCAGTTCTCTGGAATCTCCACTAGCCCCCACCTCATCCCGGTGATATTGGTAAGGCTTTAAAAATCAGAAAATGCATATTTTTTTAGATAGTTCTGCTCTACCTGGGCCTCGCACTCATCTGCGCGCACGTCCACTGCTTCGTATATCGGCTTAAGGTACGATTTTAAGGAGTTTCAAAGGGCGTTGAAGGCAAAATGTCGGTTTTGGACGATTTTTAGGGTTTAAAGGGACGTTGAAGGCAAAATTAAGCTTTAAGAAAAGTTTTGGGGCATAGGAGTGCCGCGAAAGCAGATTTATTTAATTTAAAGGCCTACGGTCGCGTTTTCGGAATTTAAAGGGACGTTGAAGCTCTGGGATGTAAATAAGCTTTGAACTTCCAGGCGATCGAAGCCGTCTATATCGACGTACCATTCGAAAACATCTGGAGTCAGCTGGCTATCCTACACGGACTGATCGTTATCCCGTTGCTTGCCGTGCTCTTTGACGTGCTTCGGTTTTCCTCAATTGAGCAGGACGTGCTGGGAGGTGAGACGTTTTGGCTAACTCGATACTTACCTTTCTTTCCGATACGTTTAAGTCCTTTCTCTATCCCAAATTTTCTGCGAAATTCGCCGTTATTTCTTAAGTTTTGCTGTTGTCTAGATGATACCTTATTACAGCCCTTCCCCTACCCCTCCCCATCGTGTCCTTCGTCGCTCTCGCCGGCCTACTCGGCTTCTACCTGTTGCTCACCATGCTCGTGCTCTATAAGCTCACCCGAGCCCTGGCCGACCCAAAAATGATCGACCACAAATTCTTCTCCCACCATCGGCGGGCCATCATTGAGTTGTTGCTCATGGTAGGTGAACCTGTTGAAGTTGACGGCTTTTTCAAGGGACAGTGACAGGAGGAGTTTAGCCTGGCTTCCTTTCATGAAAGCAAGGGCGTTATCATGGATCTTTTCGTCTAGAGATTCCTTCTAAACGCGTCAGCGAGGTTTTACTAAATCTTATTAACGGTTAGTGTAGTGTATCGTACACTTCCGTATTCAAGGCAACTCCTAAACGTTCAGTTGTGTCCAAAAACCGCTGACGGTAATTCGTATTTTTAGTTCTTCTACCCTGTGCTCCTCGCCACCGCCCTCACCAACTTTCACCATGTTTACCCTGTTTTTGGTAAGTAAAATAAGGGAAGTTCATTAGAAAAATCCGATTGTTAGCCTTCTCCACCCTGCAATGCTGGGTGTTCATCTACTCGGCGCTGCTCTCGCTTTCGGTCCCCTTCATTCACAAGTAAGAATAAATCGAAAATTACGCCAAATTCATGAATTTAGAGCTTATCGGAAGAAGATCTTCGCCTTCGCAATGATGCCTGTTTATCACTTCTTTCCAGAGTTGCAAAGGGTAGGTGATGGGGGGAAATGGTCAGAGAGCTCTCCAGCTCACTCTCTCTATCTCTCTCTATCTCTTTCTCTTTCTGTATTGAACTGGAAGTTTCGCCTTTAGCGCCGCCGCTCAGCCATCCAAGAGATGCTCCGGCAGACGATGGTCAACATGAGGCCGATGGTGCAGCTCAGCTCCGGCCCTGAAATTTCCCATGCAGCCATCGAACGCGTGAAACGATTCGACAAGGGCAACAAAATCCATAGCGAAACGACCAGTGTTGTTTGTTAGCAAGCGTAGTGTTTGAATGTATGCTGGATCGAAAATTGAATCTTGTTTCATTTGAATGTATTTTTGAAAATTTTTGAAAAGTATGAGTAGCGTGACAGAGAGAGAGAGAGAGAGAGAAAGAGAGAGAGAGAACGAGATATAGAGAATGAGATATAGAGCGTGAGAAAGAGCGAGAGAGCGAGAGAGAGTGTGATATAGAGAGCGTGAGAGAGAGCTGAATTTTGTCATATTTTTCTCTCGATAAATTCCATTTATTTGCACACATTTTCGCGTTTAATGCACATTTTTTGAGAATAAGAGAAATATAGAGAAACAGTGTGAAAATTTTGCACAACTCAAAAATGCAAAATCGAAGATGCTACAAAGCACTACCCACAAATTACGGCAAGCGACAGAAGGGGCAGGCAAGCACAGACACTTGAGGAAACACTAAAAATCACACTCAATCTAGAATTAAATTATCATAATGTTTTACAAAAAAAGGTATTGAGGTTTCTGCGGGCTGTGGAGATTGCGGGTGAATCGACGGGCGGGCGGCAAAGTTCGGCAAAAATCGGGCATATTCAAATCATTTTGATTCCAAAAGGCAAATGGGTGAATCGATTCGGGAAATTGGCGATTATAAATATACAAAAAAACACAATAAAAAATTAGGTTAAATGCAAATGAGGCGAGGCGAGGGGCGGGGCACAAGTGAAAGTGTTTTGGGCTCGAATGTGTGATCGCGGAAAACATGTAAGTAAAAAGGGTGATAGGAAAAAATTCAATCTGATTTTTCTGGTGTTCTGATTTTGAGCGTCGATAGGCGCGGGGCCTACTCGGAAAAAATTATCGCATTTAATACGGTTTGTTTTCTACGGTATATGCCAATTACGATTTTAGTTCTTTTCTGACCTCAAAAAACTGCTTACAGTAATCCAGATGTAAAGATTTTGCATTTTTCGACCATAATCCTGGAATTCCTATTTTAGCAAATCACCAGGAAGGCTCAGATTTCCTACCGTAACCTAGAAACGAGATAGGCCATTTTCAGGGTTACGGTAGCCAGGGCAAAAAGTAGGCTACAAAACACAATACGAGGGGGGTAAAGCCATGGTTTCTATCGGGCTGCACACGACTATATAATGGCGATTCTGGTATGCGAATTGCACAAGGAAAGATAACAAAAGCAGAGAGAGCGAGAGAGAGACAGAGAGATAGGACAGAACCAGCTTGAAAGGTGATGCTCAAACAGCAATTTGGGTCCTGTTCTCGGGGCGTCGGTCGCGCACTTCTGGAGTTGATCGTGGAGGGCGTTGAGGACGACTTTCTCGTCTTCCGACACTTCGAGAAGACCGGATTCTGGGTGTTCGCGGAGCCACAGGTTGATTTGCTGAAAAAAAAGGAAAATTACTCTTGGTTTCGGGAACCATAAAGTAAAATTGAACGCAACTCTCTATCTCTCTCTCTCTCTCGCTCTCTCACTACCCTCTCCCTCTCTTTTGCTCTCTCCCTCTCGCTCGCGCTCTCTCACCTCAACATTGTTCGCTACAAACGCGACATCTTGCTGAACATTGGGGCCTGAGTGGGGGGTCAGACGGTCGTGGAGGGTGGGAGGTGGGTAGCGATACGGAATGGAAGACGAGGGATAGCGCTCGACATCGTTGGAGTGCTGTCAGCAGCGAAGGGTCGGCCGTCGCTTGGAGGGCGTTCTAAAGATATCAAATCCTACGTCAAGCTCGAGCTCAAGCCTAGGCTTAGTCTAACTACCGTACCCCTTCTTTAGCCTTTCCATCGTCCACCCGTTCACTCTCTGCACTGCTGGCCGAGTCGCTGTCCTCATCTATGCGGATCTGCTCCTCGTCGGTGGTCACCGGCTCTTCTAGAAATTATAGGATTAGTTGAT